AGCATTGCGAGATCAAGTATACCTCAAAAACTTGATTGCACATACCAGCATCGACCCAACAAGGCGCCAATGGCGAAAGTAGTGGCGTCCCAGGGCCGCCGAGGACTCGACTTCTCTTGCTTCCTCTGCGATGGAGTCGGTGTCAGAGCCGGCCTCCCTGTGCTCGATTTGCACATCAGAACGTCCGACGTGGGAGGCATATTGAAAGCCCTCGTTCTTTTCCACCGCCTGATTGTTGGTCTGCATGGTTCGATCCGTCTGTGCATCCATCGCCCGGCATCAAAGTAAATCAACAAATCAGTCAAGACTTGCAAGAAGATCAAGATCTCTCTCTTCTAGCAGATACCCGACGCTGAGGTCACCCCGGCTTATAAAAAGCAGGTTGCTCCGCAAAACGCGACCCCTAAGGACCCCAGCCAAGTGATCGGGCGTCCGGATCTAGGAAACAAGGCTCCGCCGCACCGGATGACTCCCAACCTTATGGGAAGTGGTAAAGTCTTCTTTTCAGGACGAGTCTAACTCCTACAGCAGCTCTTGAGCCTCGATGGGTCATCTCATTTCCCCAAAGGGTCATGGGTCTATGCAATGTGGCTGTTATGCTCCGGGTCGCTTTCACTCACCCCCCCCTTCTCTTTTTTTCATCCCTTCCCTCTACCCTCGGTGTCCTTCAGAGACGGCCGGAAATGAAGGTTGCGCGCGACGACTGGCTTGACAAGCTCGAACCCACATCTGGGTTCGGTCACACAGGCATGCTAGACTGCAGACGAGCTTGACTAGCGAGCGCTACCCGCCTGGTCATACTTTTGTCTGAAATGTTTGAGCGAGAGAGAGAGACACACACACAAATGATCACGTATGTGTGTGGCGAGCAAAGAGGTCACTCAGCAAAACTTCGATCATCCCAACTTCCGACACTCTCTCTACGGAGGACTTGTCCGTTATTCGCAAAATGAAATGCACAGTCTCGTTTCCACTCAACCTACGCGGAATATCTGATACGAGATAGTGATCTTCCCTACCTCCTTCACGCCGATCTTTCCCTGCCCCACGAAAACGGTGTCGTTCACCCAGGCATACTCCTCACTCCTGCTGAAGATCCTCGGTATAGTGTAGTAGTACAGCTGACAGAAGTCCACCTCGCACTTTTCTTCCCCTGAAAAGGTCTTGAAGACGTCTGGGGTCACGTGCATCTTTCCGGTATAGGCGAACTCCATGTTCAGCGAGCCGTCGTCCGAGAGTGCACTGGACCGCGCGTCGATCGACACGATGTTCCCTTTGATTCTCATCCAGTCCGACGCTGTGACCACCTTAGCGATCTTTTGGCCGTCGGGGAGTTCGAGGGTGCCCTCCGTCACTAAACATCCGCGCGTGCGGAATTGGGTTAGTACAATGAATGACCACTTTGGCTTTGACAATTTCCACAATACTATAGAAGGAAAGGCCGGCCCCGGAGCTTCCGGAGGGAAGACGCAGCCGGAAGGATGGATGACATACCGTGAGCAACACAGAGATCCGAGTATTTTGTTTCAATGTGTGGAAATCCAGCGGGACCGGTCATATTGAGAGTGAAGACGTGAGTGAGTTCTGGAGAGGCCGCCATCTTTTGTCGTCGAAACCATAAAGTGGGGGAAGCCTTTGGGATGCTAGAACTAAGGAAGACCTCTACGTGTGTAATAATGGTGATACCTCGATTGTTGTTGCTTATAAACTCGATATTATTTCTTGGCTTGAAGTAGCTGGATATGACTATCTCTTTTGCATCCCGGACCCGGAGCAGCCTTTCTCTGATTCTAACAATGGAATGCTGCCGTCCTAGTGGTATCCATCTCGGCCGTCAGCGTCAGGCTTCGCGGCCCGTACCCCAGGGCTGCAATGCTACCAGACCTCAACCCTCTTCAGAGAGTATTCCGAATAGCTACTATAGAGCAGGCGAGTTAGGAAGTTTTCTGTGTGACCCGTGAATGATAAAAAATTCGTAAAATACGTCGTTCTCCTTCCTCCGTCTACCTCTGCAAAACAATGCCGTCCTCCCTAACTAGGTCTCTTTGTAGCATGAAGCCACGTGGCTCCTCTGGTCCTTTTTCCAGTGGACCTGAGGTACATCAGGGGCCTTGAAGCCCGGAGGAGCTTCCGCGACCATTGGCACCGCTTGGAGCAAAGCCACTGCAAAGGTCAGGTAGGCAGGAGCTGCAGGTTCGCCCTCGATCGTTGTGGCATCAGTCAGATACGAGGGTTTCAGACTCAGAACCGTGCGTGAAGATGGTCTCCCCTCTATGGTGACGATGTATACATTGTCTTTATCAAGCTTTGCCGGCTTCATCACTTGACCAAAGTAGTAGGTGATTTTAATGCTGATAAACGGTTTGTTTTCGTCGCTATAGCCGGTGGAAGTATATGAGATGAGGGCTGTCTGGCCTTTCTTTACGGTCATGACGGGCCGGACAACGTCTTCCGGTGCCTCGAGGCACTGCTTGGTCGCTTCGATTCGATCAATCTTGATCCCGAATTCCCTCCCAACATGATGGATCATTTGATAGTTGTAATGCTTCTGGTACCAGATGGCCGGACTGTTCTCATCGATCGTGTCCGCAATGGCTCCTCCGATGCCGATGACTTGCAGATTGCTCGCATTCGCTTGGTCCTGACAGTCGAAATATTCCTCCAGTTCGATGCGCTTAATGTCGTTGGACAGGCCAGATAGCAAAGTAACCACCCGTTGGGTCATCAGATCAGGATTGAGTCCAGTAGCATGAAACGTCGCCTTACCTCGTTTACATGCACTTTTGATTTCCTCTCCAAAAGCCGCATCCCGAGCGGGCAAGTAACTGTACGGATGGCTTGTCACGACGTTCTTGCCCGCCTCAAGCAGCCTCACAAAATTAGCAAGCGGGTCCAGGAAGGGGGCGTCCAGGGCTGTGTGGACGACCACGTCAGAATTGATCTTGAGGAACTCGTCCCAGTCGCCGGTAGATTTGACCCCAAGGGGTTCGATGCCCGCCAAAGTTCCAATATCTACACCCTTTTTTCTGTCGGAGAACACAAAGGCCCCAACGACCTGAAATTCTGGTAGGCGCGTGGCCTCGCGGATGACTATACAACCGGCATCACCAGGACCGAAGATGGCAATTTTATACGGTGTCGTTCGTGCGGCCATTGTTGGTGATGGAATTCGCAATTGTGCAAGACAAGTTTATGCATTACAACTTTTGTTGTCGGGGAAAGGGTTCAGGCCAGAAGGTTTTCAAATAGAATTATTGTCATCCTGCATTGATCCGGCGTTCGGAAGGAAGCAGTGCCTCAGAATGAGCCTTTCATCAGCTTACTTCTCAGGGCCAAGGCATGGAAGCAACCGGCATCCTTCAATCTACTTCAAGATTGCAGGAACATGAGACTTAGATCCGATTTTTGATTTGAGTTTGGTTCTATGTCCTTGGAATAAAGCTCAAGTTCATAACTTTGCAAGCCTAGGAGCGCTGAATTCATGCCGACTCCGCAGTAGGCGCGACTACTTCATCTTTCCATTTCAACAAAGAAGCCTTCTCCATGAGCTCCTTCTATATGTATTCCCCACCATATTCCGATGCAGAGACGCTGGATCTGGAATGAGGCTGGTTTCACGGCCATCACGTAACAAGTCACACGGCTTTGCCATTCTGTTTGCCTCTGCTTTTGTTCAGCCGACCCCCAGCACCGTCAAATTGCAGACCGACGAGCGTTAGTGAGATTGCAACTAAGATGAAAGTGACAACTCCCATCGGGTAGGAAATATGGTATCCCTCATCCACCGCTAGGGCAATCCAAACCGGCCAGGCCATTGCCCCATTTGCCAGAATATCCGCCGATGGGATGATCAAGATGATGGCAAGCTTCTTCCAACCTTTCAAAAATTCGGCCTTAATTAGGACGTTAATCAGAGACGCTGCCACAATGGGCATTGTCGAGTTCACCGCGGGGAACCACAAGGGCATTCCGAGTACTTTGAAGGGTTGAAATCCGAAGTACGACTGTAGTTCCCATTGATTGACAGGGTACTCCAGGACCAGATTCGAGACATAGGCAAATGCCCACAGCTTCCACACGCCGCGAGCCGTCATGGGTGTCTTTTGGCTCTGGAATTTGGTGAACCACCAGTATCCAAACCCGCCGTTGAATGTGCCATACGAAGCCAACATGAACCAAGGGATCGGTCGACCATCATGAGCGTGCAATATCAACTCGGTGCTTGCGAAATAGCAGCATCCGAGTGAGTTGATCAATGGGTCCAGCACCACGCACAGTGAGCCGCCAAGCATGAAGAGGATGCTTGTGGAATCGAATTGGAAGGCCAGTTGGTACAGTGCGAAGAGGATACAACCGACGTAAGGGATAAATGTGGATATGGTAAACATGACACTTTCATCGTATGGCATCTCCGTGACCGTCGGCGGCCGCTGAGATGTGAGTGGATCAAGCATCTTTGCGTATGCGTGGGTGATCGTTGCGGTTCAGCCCTGACCTCTGCCTAAGATGGTTTGAATGTGAGATGGCGCCTTGAGAAGGAAGAACAGAGAAAGGTAAAGGATAATGAACGAGAAGAGAAATAGATTTGGAAAAATTGGATGCCGGATAAAAGGGATTTTGTAGCCAATTCCCTTGGCCTTGTCATGAGGCCGGCACCATCTATTGGGAACCGAAGCCAATGGGCCCAAGACTCGGAAGAACGACATATCACTCATTCCGCAAGCGGCCTGCTTGATACTATCTTCCCACTGCTCATTCACTGCTCACTTACTTTACTATTCACGTGCTCCACCTGCTCACTTTTTTAAGATTCAGGGGAGTCGGATTGGAGCATCTATTCAGGGATCATTAGCAAGCCTCTTTTTCAGCAACCACCAAGAAAGGCCAGTCCCCACAACAGGCATTATTTACACGAAGAACAGACGTGACATAGCTTGGACGACTTTTTTCCCCCTCGGCATTAAGCGACTCTTTTGCCTCTTTCATTTGAAGTTGCGAAGTTACTTGTTTAGCACATACTGCCCACCCTCGACGACCGAATAGTTTTGGCCTGTGAGGATGACCATCTTGGCCGACTGGAAGAACTTCTGCTCATCCGGCACAATGACCTCCTGGTAGTATTTGTCTGATGAGATCTTGCCCCAGGTCTCCAGGGATGGGATTTCCAGCTGAACGATCCCGTCGTAGCCGAGGGGATTGTTGCGCTGATCGATGTGGAACTAGATAGGATTAACAACAATTAATTCTAACCCTGATCTATTGGCTGGATGGACATCAGAACGCAGCGTTTGTGTGTGTAGTTGTGTGTAGGTGTGTGAGTGAGTCGAATAATCATTCCCACATCATCGGCTCATCAACGACAGAAGCAAAAGACCTCATGTTCGTGCGACAACGCAATGATCAATGGTTGAGAGGACTCTGGAGAACCTCAATCTTTTGATGGATGGTAGTGATTCACGTACTTGCCGGTAACTTAGAACTCCCATGGACGACAGGAATTTTCCCACCAGGGGTCCGTGATTCTCTACCCAATGTTTCTGGAACTCCTCGACCGACAGATGTTCGCTCCGTGTGACGAACGCCAGCATAGTTACTGGGTGAGAGGGGTTGCGGGGGGAAACCCCGTCCGCCTGATTCGACGCCTCGGCCATGCCTAGCTTTTCTGCTTAGCTAGACCAGGGGATTGATATGATTGCTTATGGGTGGCAAGCGGGGGGAAACTGTCGGTGCTCCTTCCCTCGAAACTTGTTCTAAGGCCAAAAAAGATCCCAGAATCCGAGAGCTCCAATTTGAGTGAGGCTTTAGTGTCATGCCATGGTTTAATAGCCTCATGAAGGGGGTTGTATCCAGATACGATACCTCTACGGAGTACTTGTCACTTGTCATCTCTTCAGCCAATCGGGAATTGCGGCGGACCTGCTCCGGGGCGACTAAGCTATTTTGTACCAGTTCCTCTCCGGTCCCTCAGGCCCCCGCTCCAACCTTGCGGGGGATTTTGACCATCCCTATTGGGAGCGGAGGTCTGTTCACAATGAGAAACATTGAGTTTAGAGAACTCTTATGCTTTTGGAGCGTTGAGGTGTTTGAGTCACGTGGCCACTCTGTGATGAAGGCGATTGATAGAAGGGGGGAAATGTATTGCTTGAGCTACTTCTTTCGAGATTTGAACTATCTTTGATCTTGGCTTGCCAGCTGACAGGTCTATGCAGTACTATCCGTAGAATGACCCATAGCATCGACGGTCAACATGTCAATGAAGTGTTGTGTTGTGTTCAAAGGCCGTCATTTCTTCCAGAACTCCTTCTGGTACCACGCCTGACTGTAATTTCTCTCGTCATCGAGCCAGCCTTCCGCCTCCTTCCAGGAGTCCGTGACCAACTTCGCCCGCCTGTCGTCTCGGGGGACGCACTTGGATTTGTACGGCATCGGCCCTGCAACCAGACCGGTGGTCATGGCATCGTTTTCAATGACCTCGTCACCCACCCTCTCAATGTCGAAAGCCCACAGCATGCGCGCGATGACCATAAATAAGCTGCGGTCGGCCACCTGCATGCCGGGGCAGATCCGGCGACCAGAGCCGAATGTGAAATGGTCGCGCAGTGCCGGATCCGCCTGGGCGGCCGACTCTTGTGAAAGCATCGCGTCGTGAATGTATCGCGTTGGATCGAACTTGCGTGGGTTCGGGTAGCGGACGGGATCATTGTTGATACCCCATATCTGGAGACGAGTGTCTGGTTAGTAAGAATAACTTCTCAACCGGGGTTTGATGCCGCCCACATTTTGAACAACGGATGTTCCTTTGGGGATCTTATACCCCTTGTACTCGTCGTCCTTGGCTGCAGCGTGTGGAATTCCCAAGACGGCAGTTGGACACCCTAGACCGTGCCGAGAGTTGGTAGTCAGCGTCTTTTGTCTGCAACTTTCTTCCGGCTCAGGGACTCTTACACCTCAAGCTTTCCTTGACAATGGCCCTAACATACGGCAGCTGGTTTCGGTCCTCCCATTCCGGCATCCTGTCGGCACCGACCACCTGGTCCAGTTCCTGATGAGCCTGTTGCTGTACCTCCGGATACAAGATCATCGCTTTGACGAAGCCATGCAGTGTGTTGAACGTGGTATCCGAGGCTCCCGCCCATGCATGGCCGGCGTTGAACGCCATCTCCATCTCGTTAAGCCCATCCTTGTCCTGGTTGGTGAGCATGTCGCCAGCGAAGCAGGGGTTCAGCTTTCCTCGGTCAACCTTGGACTTGGCTTCACGTAGGAGGTCGAGCCAAAGATCTCGTTCCATTATGGTGAGCCGGGAGAGTTCCTTGTTCAGCTTGTTCAAAGAGTTGGGCGTGTTCTTCAGGACCGGCCGGAGCATAGGGAAGAACTCGGTAACTTGAGTCGCAATGCCCACCAAAGTGTAGGATTCGATCCATTCAAAAAGGCGTGTTACATAGTGATTGTCGGCCCGATTGACTCGCCAGCCGTAAGTGATGGTGGATCCGGTGCTAGTGGTGTAGCGCTTGAGGGCATCAAAAGAGTCGTACGGAGCGTTCAGTAAGTCCCAGAGCAACTGGTTTGATTCAAATCGCTTGGAATGCGTGAGTCCCGAGATGCCCGACATGAAGGGACGATAGAGCATACCTGATAGGGCAAGTATCGAGTCGCTGCCGTACTCGTTAGAGCCGTGTGATACATCTTTCGCTGACGACGCCACACATCATCGTTGCTATCAGGATCTGTTATCTGGCACGCTTTGACAGAAGGAAGAAGGTTGTAGGCTTACTCTCGATTCGATATCATTAGATTGTACCCAAATTTACGCAAGTAATTGTCCACGCGGTTCGAATAGATGCTGCTACGCTTGTCGTAGAGATCTTTGACCGTCGTGTACGAGCTGATAACAATTACATTCATACCCCCCAGTTTCAATCCCATGATAGGGCCATCTATTGGGTGTTAGTAGCTGTTCCGAGGAGATTAAGAAATCCCTACATTGCGCCGACAGCTTTGCCAGCCCTTCATGCAGCTTCTGTCTCGGCATTTGGAAGAGATTCCCAAATATGGGGATCGTCGGTGGCCCTGATGTATTGTCTCAGCATGTCTTCCAAAGCATCAAAGGGAGGAAGCACCTGGAGGGTAATCCTTGGGCCTCATGCCAAAGTTTCGAAACCTGATAATCAGGACTGCCAGAACGACGACCACAGCTACCACGACATACATGATGGTGGTGCTCACAAAGTCAAAGTATCTTTTCGAGTTACAAATGTGAGGGCAGCAATGGCGATGACCAGATTGTAGTTGTAGAGTCTCTTCAAACCTCTGGAGCCTGCCATTATCAAGTGCCCTACCAAGGATGTGGCTTTTGTCACCTATCTGCCATTCAGAGATCCCGGCCTTCCGAGATCGACAGGATGAACCACAGGAAATGCCTTACTCCAGAGAGTTGTGCATTGTCGCACGTAGAGGCGACTCCTGCGGTGTGACGTGGAGCAAATCCTGTCCGGAGCATTTGGGGCGCACGTCCGAGGATCTGGAGGAGGGTGGGATCAGCCTCGCTTTCCGGGTACCTGCTTTCTCCACCTCATTGGCGAAGAGGAGCGGAAATGGTGATGGTCACTTCCCCCAAACAATCCAACCTCGAAATTGGTCATATTGTATTCTTGTTATCCAGTCTTAGCCCCCAGTAGTTGTCTGTCTGATCCTCGTATTTGGCAATCGGTATATAGCCTCTTAGACCACTGACATATACCATTGAAAGAGTAGCTGGATAGGCATCTCATGCATTATGGTCCTGGGGGATTTCAGTCTCGACGGAAAAATTGCCGTGATAACGGGCGCTGGCTCAGGTAATCCCATTCTTGTTTGGGCAGCCCAAGAATGAGACTTCAGAAAATTTGACAGATCTGGATCTACAGGGATCAACCTCGAGTTCGCGAAACTCTGCCATAAAAGTGGCTGTCGAGTATTAGCAGCAGATATTCGATCCACACCGGAGCTGGAGGAATGGCTACAAGAGGTAAAAGGAGCAGAATGCAAAGTCGTGTATCAGGAAACAGACGTGGCACAATGGGATCAGCTGAAAGCGTTGGTCAAGACCTCAGAACAGGCATTTGGCGAGATTCCTGACTTGTAAATACTATGACGACTCATGTGAGATGTGGTGAGCTTGGGAATTGACTTGAGTCCGTTTCGCAGATTCGTTGCCGGTGCCGGAGTTTTCGAAGCGGTGAGTGGCCATTTCTCACCACATGATATGATGCTATAGTACCCAGATTGACATCAACAGAGAGGGCCGTCTAATTTCTGGGAGGACCTCGAAGACGACAGATACCGCTTGCTCGACGTCAACGTCGGCCACGCCATCCAATTCACCCGCATCGGAATCCGCGAGCTTCTTCGGCACCATAAGAAGGGGGTCATCCTGATCGTGGGCTCGCTGGCAGGATACACGCCTAATTTCACCGCCCCGCTATATGTGGCTTCTAAGCACGCCGTCACCGGTTTTACGCGGTCAATGGCAGACTTGGACGAGATTGCCGATATCAAAGTGGTCGCGTGTGCTCCGGGGTAAGAGGCACTGCTTTCTGGACCGAGCATGCAGACGGTCTGACTTACCATTGGATCATCCCCCACTGACACATTTCATGCAGTATGGTATATACGAGGATATGGACCGACGCGCCCCGGGCCATGAAGGAATATGGGATCACAAAGGAGGTCTGCGCTCAACCGTCCGAGATTGCCCTCGGAATGAAATCCTTGGTGGAATCAAACCAGTGGCCAGCGGGGACTGTCTTGGAGGTTGCAAAGGGACAACAATGGAGGAACGTTCCCGCTTTTAACGCGGAGCCGCCTGCCGGAGTTGGGGTCAAACCGGAGCAGAACGATGTAGAGAGACGCATACTGGCTCTGTTAGAGAAAGAAAAGGTCGGGTGAGGACGACGATAATGATGGCCATTACCACACTCCAGCTTCCCAAATTCTTCGCAGTACATCTGAGGCCATTCTAGGTTCATAAAATGCACAATTGACTCTGCGACAGGAACAAAGTAGATAGAAGTATGTTAACGGAGTTGTTAACGGAGTTGTTAACGGAGTTACCATGCACTTTATCTAGAACCAAGGTCCGCTCAATGCCCCTGGATGGGTACAGGTGGCGGGGGAACAGGTATTGAATCCAACCCTCGAGGACCGATGTTTGCTCTCTTCTTCAACTCCCGACCATCATAACCGGTTTGCAGTTTCTTGATCATATCTTCTGGGTCGAAGTCGACCCCGACTGGGTTCTCGCCAAACTCGGGAGACGCCATGAACACATTTGCATCTTCCACCTTGTCAAAATTGTCAACCTGTGTCTCGATCTGATTCCCATCTGGATCCTGATAGTAGATGCTGGTTGTCGGACCATGGTTGACACTCCATATGGGCAGGATCCCTTTGGACTTTCGCTGCCTATATGCCAGTAGCAAATCATCCAGGGTTGCAAAAGAAAAGGCAATATGTTCCAGGCCGGCCGAGGTCTTGATCTTGTCCGAGGTACCTGGCACGGCTCCAATCGCGATCCGATGGTGCTCCTCGTCGTAGGTGAGGAAGGAGATGAAGTCGTTTTCGTGCGTGGCTTCCGCGCCCAGAAAGGTCTTGTAGAAGTCTACCATCTCCCTGA